CACCACTACTACACTGCTCTACGCTCAAAGGTCCTTCAGCGTCCCCCTCCCCCACGAATTGTAGTGACTATAACAACAACAGCGATCAACTGACATCACAGATACGTAACATGTCCTCCTCCTGATGACGACGACGACCCCGGACTGTACATTTCATCACCCTCCTCGCCCCACAGCCTGACAAACACTCTTTACCCCTTAGCGGAGCGAAGCCCTACCGATCACTCAAAGCATCCGCGAAGGCCAAGTTGTGGCGCATGAAATACATATCCCTTTCGTCGCTTCCAGCCAAGACTGCCATAACAACCAAAATATTATCATTCTCGAGGGGCCGACTACCTCCCTCTCCAGAATAATGAGTTCCACTGTCAGCGGACTCTTCACCACCACCATCAGTCTCGGCCATCCACCTGAAGCGCCTCATCCCACTGACGAGGACGCATCTTACCTCTGATTATGCGCCTCAAAGCGCGCTTGTCGAACCTTGCCAAACAAGCTGCTGGCCGCACGAACATCTTCAGGACAAGTCTGAAGAACTCCCTTTGACCTCCATGTACTGATAACGTTACCCGCTTCATTCGTTTCATCTCCAACTCAGCTACAATGCCTAGAGCTATCGATGCCTGCCTCGCTATCATAGGGTTAGTATCGTGCACCAACTCGAGCATATAGTGCACTACCTACATACGCCTCATGAGGTGGACCGATACGCGGCGGCGGCGGCCCTCCATCCCACTTGACCATCTTCAGTTTCGAGGACCATCTCGGAAACCTCAGAATTCGTCAACAGCATAGAAAATGTCCAAAGCAATTGTAGAACCTATTGCCCAGGTGATCCTCACCAAAGCCATTCGCCTACAATATCATCGTCCTCCTGCTTAGCGGTGAGCAAGTCTATAAGGCGCCTTATCAGTAGTGGGTTATCACATAGTCGTCCCCCCACCTCGGGGTCCGGACAGGAGGCTATCACCTGGTTACAGTACACTCATTCACAAGGTGTAGTCAGCAGCGGAAATTTGGTATACAGGAACCTACTCCAACGACCATGACACTCTCTAGGAGGACATCATCCCCCGTGAAGCCCGGCATGAGCTGATCTGTCAAGAGGTCCAACAGGAAGCCATTGTCATCTATCGAGCAGAGCTCTGCCCAGTCTATCCCCGTACCAGGTGTTGTGAAGTTGGCTAGTAACCCCAATACCTGTATAAATCAACTTCACAGGAATATGAAACTACGATAGTGCGATGACGAGACCAACTGAAGGCTGCTACCTCAACCACTACATCTGCCCCTCCGTCCCTCCTGTCTTGTCCACTACTCTTACCGTTACTGCAGCGACGAGCCATACGAACAAGCTCAACCGTCCAGTGCGATAACGCAGAATTGCTCATCACCTACAATGTGCCTCGCTAGACTCCACCAAACCGCCTCTCACTTCACAGAAAAGCTCCTGCAGATCCCTTCCATGACTGCTCGCATTTCGCATTACCTTCAACACAAGGGCATCGCTGTACTTGATAGCCCTATGTACCTGCATACTGGAACTGAGAGTCGATACCATGTAAGGGACACACTAGCTCTGGCCATAACCCTGATTGGAGCATCATCTGGGCGCTACGCTGATGAGTCGACATGTTCACCAGCACCTAGCGGAGGGAGGTCCGATAAGATTCAAAAGAGGTCCGATGGAGACCCACAGCCATGAGGTCCACCCCCACTCTGGGTTCGGGAGATTGCACAACCAGCTGTAGCAGCATCGGTATAAAGTCCTCACAGAAGCAAAGCTCGGACTTGCAACGATCATCGAAGGACAAATGATATCTATGATAGGGCGCAGGTTCGATCCCCGGGCGCGGCATTTATTATATAGTTTTTACAGAAGCCTGAGGACCAGCTGTCGGCAGCTTGGTTGCTCTCTCAAGATACCAACCAAGGCCATCATAACGCCACTTTCCGATAGTGAGTTACGCACAATTGGGTCGAAGGATAGATTATAGAGGACCTGCCGAGTGCAACAGCTCCGCTCTAAGCCTTTCACTCACAACCATAATAACGTATCACTTCAAGGGCTAAAACAGCCCCCTTGTCCCCAGGATGGATTTTCTAATAACGACAACCGACTAAGAAGTAGTCCCGAATAGGTGATGGGAGATTGCAATTTCTTCGAAATCATGTGATGTACACGAATGCAATGGTAACGTCTATAGGCCCCTTTCAATTTCCATCAGTACATGCAAGGCCAGCACTCGTGTAGTTCCCGACTCATGCCTCATCACACAGTTAGCGACAAGGGATCGGAGCACCTAGAGACAACCCTCCTACGACAGCCAACGTGACGACACTACTCCAGCCTCCACCATCTGGTCCTTAGCCTCCTGGAAGACAGATAGCTTCTTGAGAAATACCAGGCACACTTTCAGTAGAGGCTCCCAGGTTCGATCCAAGAGCCCGGCAATAAGACTTGGCAGTTTTCCATTCACCATCTTCTCTGCGTGATTACCATGTTCGTAGCCCTACTGCCAAGCTACTACGTTCGACTATGACGTCCTCAGCGAGATGCAATAGCGTCAACAGAGCTATTCGCAGCAGTTTGTTCTGTTTCATCACTTTGCGTTCCTCTCTCGTTAAGCCTGGAGCATCGCATGCGAGCCGACACTGGTCCACCTAAGAGCAGACCACCCCTTTACACTGGAGTTGACTGGAATCGAACTGAGGGAAAAGTTCTGTCAGTACGATGGAGATCTTTAGGGGACTAAGACTCCACAACCATACCCGTTATATCGCTGTATACGATAGGATAAAAACTTCCGATGTCTCTCCCGCTTCCATACCCCTTGTTTAAGGGCCCTGGCCCGTTCTCGAACCTCGTGCTCCACCAACCGTAGGGTGATACCACCACATTGGTAAGCCGCCAGTAACGGGTGAAGGACAGAATAAGTGGACAGGCAGAGGAAGCATGCACCTGATGATGCGCCACTCCCTGACAGAGCCGAGTTCGCTGGTCCGCAGAAAATGCGTATCTCAAACGCTCACCATAGAACCCTATTGGCCTATGGATGCGGCAACTACTGTTATCTATTGGGTACGCTCATTCCAGTTCATTCCCACTAGATTGCCGCATGCGAGCTATGGATGGCGCTATTGTATTACTGATAGTAGTTGGTAAGTCAAAGAGACCCACCGACTCCTCCCTGAGCACTCTCGCCAACACCGTGAGCCAGGTACCTTCAGGATCGGTGAGGCACCACCCAGGCTATGCGAGAGCGGAAGATTCAAGGTCCATTATTAGAGTCCCGAGACTTTTACAATTGAATCCATCCTGGCCTCCTACAGTACTCATCGCCTGATGGGCAATATAGGCAAAGGTACGTGGATCCACACATAGCCTAAAACAGGTTAGTAACATTCGTCCGGCTCGAAAGCAGACCTAAGAAAATAACGAGCCCCGACCAGCTTTTCCTCCACCGCGTCTTCATATAGCTTATCCTTATACCTATCGCTGCTGTTTGAAAGACCTATAGTTAACATGCTACATCTCGATGGAGTTGGGGTTGGCCTCTGGCAGGGAGCGGAATATCTACAGTGAAGGATAGACAGGCATTGGTG